GAGTTTGACAGATTGAAAGTTCGAGTTTGAAAAGTTTCAGAGTTTGAAGCGCTCGACATGCGGTCACGTATATGGGTGGCGTTCGCAACCCCAATTAAGTATCTGGAACAAACACGCCTTCTCTGTTGGCGATTCCGGTTCACTGCGCCCTCATTTTGCGATTCCGGTCATCATAGCCCCTCACCACATATCTTTATTACGCTCCCATTGGGCGATTCCAGCACACCGTGTAACTTAATCGCACCCCTTGAGTTGGCGATCTTAAGCACACCCCTCATTTAGCTTTTCCGGGTCATCGTATTTGTCGTATTACGCTTACTCATTTGGCGCTTTCGGTTAATTTTACATCTTACACACGCCTTCTCTTTTGGCGATTGTAGTTCACGGTATATCTCAAGCACGCCCAAAGGACGTTTTGGTTCATTTCTTCGCGGCAAAAAAAAGGGGAGTTTGCCCCCCTCCCCCTCCATTTGCAAAGCTTCCGAACCACCCAACATGAATATTATTTTCGCTTTTAACCCCCTGATGCGTTTTCGTGTGGCTTTCTCCTTTGTGCTCCTTTGTGTGTCTTGGAGAAGACTTTTCCCGGCGACTAGTGGTACTAGTCGGGGGGTGGCGAGGGGCTCATGGGTGAAATATGATGGGGGGGCTTTGTAGTGTTGGATCTGGGCGAAGTATGAGAGAGGGGTTGGGTGAAGTATGTAGTCCTCCAAATCACTGGGGTTGGGTGAAGTACCTAGTCCTCCAAATCACCTTCCAAATCACTCATGATCATAATGCTCTTTTCTTCGTTTTTAACACCCCTGAAGCGTTTTCGTCTGTTTTTTTTTGTTTTTTCGTTTGTGTGTGTTGGAGAAAACGCGGCTTAAGAGAGCGGGGAGTTTGCAGTCTAAAAACAGCGGGGGGTTGGGGGGGGGGCAGCCCCCCCCATTTGCAGAGCTTCCATATCATTCATGAAAGAAGGGGGGTTTTGGGTGAAGTACGCTTGCAGTCTAAAATAAGCGAGGGGGGGTTGGGGGGCGCAGCCCCCCCCCTCATCTGCAGAGGTTCAAAATCACTCATGATTCATGATATCTTCTTCGCTTCTAATCCACCTGAAGCGTTTTCGTGTGCTTTCTCCCTTGTGTGTGTTGGAGACTGGCGGGGGCTCGAGTCTTGGATTTGAACCAAGTATGAGGGGGCGGGGCTCGTAATCTGGTTTTTGGTGATGTATGAAGGGGGTTACTTTTTTATTTTTTTGCGGCTTAACAGAGCAGGGAGTTTGCAGTCCAAAACAAGAAGGGGGTTGGGGGGGCGCAGCCCCCTTGCAGAGCTTCCAAATCATTCATGCTTAAGTTTTGTTCTTCGCGTTTAGCCCCCTGAAGCATTTTTGTGTTGCTTTTTCCTTTGTGTGTGCTGGAGAAAGGTGGGGCTTAAAGTCATTGATTCAGGGAGACTGTAAGGGGACGCCTCGACGTCTTAGATTTGGACGACGTATCAGGGGAGGGGGATCTTAAGAGAGCACCCCCATTTGCACAGCTTCTGAATCACTCATGATGAATTTTAATTCTTCGCGTTTAACCCCCTGAAGCGTTCTCGTGTTGCTTTCTCCTTTGCCTGTGTTGGAGAAAGGGGGGCTTAACATCTTGGTTGTAGGAAGACTGTAAGGGGAAGGGGGAGGCTCGAAGTCTTGGATTTGGACGAAGTATGAGGTTGGGGGGGGGGGTCGTAATCCTGGTTTTTGGTGAAGTATGAAGTGGGAGACGCTTTCATTAATTTTTTTCGCGGCTTAGCAGAGCGGGGCGTTTGCAGTCTAAACAGAGCGGTGGGGTTCCCCGAAGACTCCAAGCCGCCCCCCCCCCCGCCCCCCCATGGTCTTCCTAAATCCAGAACAACAACCCCCCCCTTCATAGTCTTCCTAAATCCAGGACTGCAGGCCCACCCCCCCCCCTCATCCTCTTCCTAAATCCAGGACTACCCGTTCGCCCGGGGGGGTCCCGGGCTATTGAATCGGACTCGGAGTTACCGGGCCCAGACCCTAAAATGAGGACGTCAACATGGTTTCAAACTCAAACTTTCAATGTATTCAAACTTCAAACTCTTCAAACTTACAAACCTTCAAACTCCCAAACTCTCAAACTTTGAACATCTCAAACTTTCGAACTCCACGGCTCTCAAACTTTCAAACTTTCGAAATTTGAAAACTTCAAACCTTCAACCCCCCAAAGTTTGAAATTTTCGAATTTCAGTCTTCGAAGCTTTCGAACTTTCAAACTTCCTGGGTTTCAAACTTTCAAACTCCAAGCTCTCAAACTTTCGAACTCGAGCCTGAGGGCTGCTCTATGAACCCCTACGCGTCTCCAGCGGTCCTTCTCCTTTTCAAACTTTCGAACTTTCAATCTTCGCAGCTTCAAACTTTCAAATTTCCTGGGTTTCAAATTTTCAAGCTCCAAACTCGCGCCAGCTTTCGAACTCGAAACTCTCAAACTTTCAAACTTCAAACTCTTCATTCTCCAAACTTTTCAAACTTTCAAACTCTCGAATCCCGTCCAACATGTACTACGTTCAAACTCTCAAAGATTCGAGTTCGATAAACCCCACTCGTGACACCTCTCTTTGCAACCCCCCGTTCCTGGCTCGAAAATGGAGGTTTACTCGTGGCCCCACTGGGGGTGTGAAGGGGGGTGGGGCTTGACGGGCTGGACGAGCGTGATTCCCTCCGCGGTTTGCGTAGCAGGGCTCGTTTGCAATCCGAACGAGGAACATCCCTCGTTTGGATTGACAAATAGGCTCCATGGCGTGAGCCCCACAAGTTTCGGGGCACAGATTCGGAACAGCATGACGCCCGATAAACCTAGCGAGCGAGCATATCTGACCTTATAAACAGGGTCGGTAGTGCTGGATCCAAGGGGGCCCGCGGAACATCGAGGGTCTTAAAAACGCGCAACCCCGAGCCTAAACTGCCTAGACCTTGACCCGCTCAGCCCTAAACCGTGAACCGGAAACCCTAAAGCCCAAACTACAGGAGGTGGCCCATGGGTTTTTAGTTAGGTTTTGAGGCAAGTCAACCCGGCGGCTTTTTGGGATGCTATTTCCCGCTAATGGCTTCGCCAAAAGCGGTCCTCACAGTCTTCCAACAGTTTCCGCGTAAACATGTGCCTATGTATTAGTATGTATGCATGCATACATCCGTACATGTATGCAAGCATTCGTACATACCTACATACGTACATACACATACACACACGCACACATACAAATACATGTACATGTACATGCATGAAAACTCTCTATATAATAATATATGTATATATACATATACACGCATGTATATACATATGAACCTATCTATCTATCTATCTATCTATCTATATCCGGAAGGAAGTGGCGACGGAGAGCGGTCTCCAATTCATCGAGGAGCTGCGCAGTGCGGCCAAGCGGGTTGTTGTGGAGGATACAGATGAGACGATTCAGCAGATAGACCTTTGAGAGCAGTACAGCACAGAGCTTGTTGTTTTAGTTTGTTTACTTTCGCTCCCATGCCTCTACTGGGAGGGTCATCCATAATTAATTACCCACAGCCGTACCGTGATATACCGCATGTATTCATGGGCTCTGTTTACGACTATCTCCGACCCTCCCATTTCTAAATGAGGCCTTGAGCAAGGCCCATCACATTTTTGCTTCATTCCTTGCAATTCCTGTCCGAACTGACGGGGTGTAAACAGAGTAGGCTCTGTGTGACGGCCTGCCGGCGAAGCCGAGCCGTGAGTTCCCCCGTGTTTGGAATCAAATCAAAACATTTGCTTTGCATTGCCTGCAGTCCCCGAGGCGAGCGGGCCTCTCCAGAGCCTCCAAAACCCCTTAATTGAGGAATATACCTTAAAGTATTACAGGATCCCTAATATGGTTTAAGGTACATTGCTTAGTTAAGGGGTTTTGGAGGCTCTGGCTTGGCCCTGCAGCAACCACCACGATACTAACATTTCATGACCACAGTTTCACGTAGCTGTACAAGTTTCATGCCACATGATCCTGTCTGCGTCTCTCTTTCTTTCTTCCCAATCTCCATACCTATGTATCTGTGTATCTACGTGTATGGTTATGGTATGTACACACACACACAGACATGCATACATGGCAGTAGCCCTGTAATCCCCCTTCCCCCGCCGGGGTTTCCATGCCAAGCCCCTTGACCCCGAGAAGCCCCCCTGTCCCAGAGACTCCAATATCCCTTAATTAAGGAATAAATCCCTAATCTGATTTAAGGAATATTCCTTAATTAAGGGATAAATCCCTAATATGATTTAAGGAATATTCCTTAATTAAGGAATAAATCCCTAATATGATTTAAGGAATATTCCTTAATTAAGGAATAAATCCCTAATATGATTTAAGGAATATTCCTTAATTAAGGGATAAATCCCTAATATGATTTAAGGAATATTCCTTAATTAAGGAATAAATCCCTAATATGATTTAAGGAATATTCCTTAATTAAGGAATAAATCCCTAATATGATTTAAGGAATATTCCTTAATGAAGGGATAAATCCCTAATATGATTTAAGGAATATTCCTTAATTAAGGGATAAATCCCTAATATGATTTAAGGAATATTCCTTAATTAAGGAATAAATCCCTAATATGATTTAAGGAATATTCCTTAATTAAGGAATAAATCCCTAATATGATTTAAGGAATATTCCTTAATTAAGGGATAAATCCCTAATATGATTTAAGGAATATTCCTTAATTAAGGAATAAATCCCTAATATGATTTAAGGAATATTCCTTAATTAAGGAATAAATCCCTAATATGATTTAAGGAATATTCCTTAATTAAGGGATATTGGAGTCTCTTGGGGTCAGAAACAGTGTACCCACAAAACTCACGAAGCCCAGGCTCCTTGTACCCTCAAATAGGGGTGTATGGTCCCAAATAGTGGGTACTTACGGTCTAGAGAGGGTAGATGGAGGGCCCTAAACCCTAAACCCTAAATCCTAAACCGGCATCCGGAGGTTTCGATTTTGCATGCCTGAGCCTCAGAGCTGGGCCCTGGGCGTGCAGGGTTCAGGGCCTGCGCATGCGCTACACTGGCTCCCAACTTATACTATCACTATCTGGGTAGTTGTCAAAATTATGGTCCCGTTTTGGGTACCCTCAATTTTAGGTGCCGTAATATAATAGGGACCCCAAAAGAGACCTTAGTTTTGACAACCACCCATCTGATAGAACGTTGTACCCCAAAACTCTGTTCCTGCGGCCAGGTAGAATGATGTGGTCTCAGGGTTTCGGCGGGTTTCGGATAGGCAGGCAACTGGGAGCCACTTCAGAGAGACGTCGTTCAAAAAGGATCAATCAAGGGATCTTAGGGTTTCGGGTGAGTTTGTGGCTTGGGGCTTAGAAGTTGTTTTTCTTCCCAGGTGTAGCAAAGCTTGATTCTTATCGGTGCCCTCAATCTCTGCGGGGGGCGGGTAGGTAAGCTTTGACGTTTTGGGTAAAAGAGGTCAAATTGAAAGGCTTGACCTTTCCTGGGCTAGGGTAGGGGCCTTAATAAATTGGACTAGCTTGGGGGAAAGTATTATATACTGTATTTATAATAAGGAACCCCCCAAACCCCATTGAAAATATTAAGGCCCCTACAGTAGGGTAACTTTTCCACCATACCAAGGATGCGGGACCACCGGATTCAAAGCCTGAGCCCTAATAGCGTAGTCCCAAACCCCGACACCCCGAGTCACTCAAAGTCGTAAAACCTAAGACGCAAAGCCCTGAAGGCCTGAGAGCAGCCATTTGCAGGTTGGGATGCCTGTAACTAGGATGCCCAGTAGTACCCTTATTCCCTTTTTGTAGTCCTAGGTTCCTTATAAAGTTACCCAATACCAAAAAGAGAGGCCTTTTTATTCTTAGGTTACTGGGTATCCTAGTTATGAACTGCGCTTATAACAAACTAGCCTAGGCGGCGCAGAAAGGGGCAGCATTGTATTCACAAGTGCAGGCAATATAGGGACCTTATATATGAATTACCTATACGATGGTTCCTGATTAGAACTAAAGTATAGTATGCCCCAAAACCCCATTCTAATTGCTCCCTGTACTACAGTAGCCAATAGCCTCATAGTTGCCTTATCGCAACCCTTATAGACCCCTTTAAATGAATCCTATTCTAATCATTAAGGCCCTTACCATAGAACCCTCCCCTACTATAGATCCCTTATAGACCCCATTAAGGAATCCTTTAAAGGAGCCCTCTTCTAATTATTACTACTATTTGCTTAAGAATCCCCCCAAAAAAATAAATGATAATCCTATATTATCCCTATAAGGAATATATGTTTTTATTTTTTGGGGGGTTCTTAAGCAAATAGTAGATTAAGGCTCTTATAGTATCATTCGCCTGAAGCCTTGACATCTGTGCAACTTCGATCCTGAAAGACTCGACACCGGGGACTTTACACCTGACTTAAACCCGACACCTAGAGCCTAAACGCCTATATACTAAACCCCGAGCCCCTAAACCCCTAAACCCTAAACCTTCGACCCCGAAACTCGAACTAGATCCTGAGCCGTTTCGGAATTGAGGCTGTCTAATTGTGGTCCAGGGCTTGCTTAAGGGGTGCATGGGATTCTTTCCCTGTTTGTTTTTAGGGTATAGGGCTATGCAGGATTAGGGTTAGCTTTGGGCACTTTGAAAGCTGTCTTCAGCCTCTGTAAGAAACACAGAGGTCTTAAGACCCGGGGAGAACTTCGGCAACCTCCTGCGCACGGGCTCGGAGTTCTTTGGCATGGAGCACGCCCAGCTCCTGCTGTCGCTTGGTTTAGGGCTTGATGTGGGGCCCTTGATGGATTTGATAGGATCTTAATTCAGGGCGTTTAGTTATTATTTATTGTGGGTCTTGGGATATCTTAGTTTTGCCGTTTGCGGAAGGTAGAGGGCATATATCAAACTGACGCATTCTTGAAGATGAAGAGTTTAGTGCCTTGGTGGTTCGGGCTGAGGCATTTGGGAGTTAAGGGGCTTAGACGGCCTAGAGGTTCGGAGGAGCACCATATCGCGAATGATAAGTGCAACGAAAGCCAAAAGGTTGGCCCCAGCCAGAGTTCCTCAGTTTGAGCTTGCATCCTGCAAAACTTAAACCCCCAGAACTTGCACCACTACCACCTAAGCATGTGGCGGCAAAGGGCTGTGCTAGGGAACATAGGCCGGAGCTGGATGCTACTTCATTCGGGTTATAAATATAATAGATATAAATAAGTAAGTATGAATATATATATATATATATATACACACACATATGCGAATATTTGTTTACAGATACATATATACATATGCACATCATTACACAAGCATGAATCTATACATGGTTGTGCGCTGTACACTCTGCCCCCCCCAACCCCCGCCCCCCCCTCATCCACCGAAAAATGTATGGGTCGCCTGTGCGGAGGGCCCTTTCTCCCGAAAAAGAAGGGAGCGGGAGGGGGACTACTTGGAGCTTCATGCGTAGTTATAAGTGGGGTTATGAGTAAGGTAACTATACTTGTATATAGTAGAAGCCCAAAAGTTGGAAACCCAATAGCCTTAATCCTCAAGAGTAATGTATAGGGAATCCCAGCACTGTGTAATTACCTGAATCCGGTTTCCAACTTTCTAGGGTTTAACTGTAACCCTTCTTAGTGGAACTATAACCCTACTTATATCCAAGGGTAACAGGAGGGACCCTTACGAACGACCCCTAGGTATATACCCATAATATAGCCATTATAATACCCTTTATATAGCCCATTATAGGCTAGGGGTCCCCATTAAGGGTCTCTCCTTTTCCCCTTTGATTATAACTACCCCTAAACCCCTAAACCCTAAACCCTAAACCCCTAAACCCCTAAACCCTAAACCCCTAAACCCCTAAACCCCTAAACCCCCTAAACCCCTAACCCCTAAACCCCTAAACCCTTAAACCCTTAAACCCATGAACCTCCAAGTATGCTCTAAAGCTCAAGACCGCAGTGGGATGGCCAGAGTGGAGTCCAGTGGCAAAAAGGGGGGGAGTTATAGAGTTTATGGATCATTGGGTTTAGGGTTTTAGGGATTATAGCTTTAAAGGCCTGGATGCAAAAGGGATTATAGCGTTTATGGATCATTGGGTTGACTTTCGGTTTGAACGTTCAAGCCTCGTTGAAAGAGGCTTTCGGCGTGTGATTCTACCTAGAGGAGCATACCCCACCCCTTGGAAGGGTACCCACTTCTGTAGTTGCACTTAGGGTCTGTTCCGTATGGGAAAGTAAGTGCGCTTAAAATGAGGTAGAGTGTAGAGTTTACAGTTTGAGACGCTGGGGTTTAAAGCATTGGCATTAGGAACCTCAGGTTTAGGGCGTTAGACTTCAGCAAACCTGATTTTCATAGTCCTCTGCAGCCTAGAAGCACTCGGCACCTAAGCCGCGAGAGCCTTGAGCCATCACTTCCAATCCCTGAGCCCTGAACTCATGGCAGGAGGTTCAAGGACGTCAGAAGTATACCTGTAGTCTCCATTGTAGTTCCTTTTTGGGGCTACCTTTTAGGATCCTGAATATAGAATTGGTTAAACCAACAAAAGGAACTACAATGGAGACTACAGGTAGGGCTGGAGGTGAGGCAACTTTAGGTAAGTTTGCTTACAACCCCAATCAGGTTGCCTAGCAGCTTACTATCTCCCCTGGTCTTTTATGTACCCCTTCTGCCAGAGGTCAAGCAATCAAGATGGCTCCCTGATGGCATTGCGTTTCAGGGCTGAGGCTGCAAAGGCTTGGGGCTTGGATTTGCACAGGTTTACGGGTTGGGGTAGTAAGATTTTCTGGCATTTCAGGTTTATAGAAGCACTATGTTTATTTGCTCCGGAGCCTGGCTCTTGTAGTATTTGTGGAGTAGAGAAAACGTCCTTTGCGGTGGCATCCCGTCACCCACAACTCTCAACCAGGAGAAAGTACCGAAGCGCATCATAATGAGCCAAGCCACACAGCACCATCGCCATGTCAGGACGCGGAGAAACGACCTTTAAACCTGTGCAGAAGCCCAACTGGGCTTGGGCATTGTGTGGTTTAGGTATTTGGGAGTTTCCGAAAATAGGGGTACATTGCGTTGGGGTCCTTACAATAAGGATCCTACTATTTAGGGTACTATATTAGGGTCCCCTATTTTCGGAAACTCACATTTCATCTCTACCCCCGCATCTCTTGTGAGACGTGGGCTCGTTTCCAAGTCATGGCTTTGGGCTTAGGGTAAAGCCATGCTTAAGGTTGGTGTAGGATTGCATGAGTATTCAGCTGAAGTGTAAACTACTCTAGGGGCCCGAAATAATTTTTGGGGGTTCCTCATTATGGTATAACAAGCCCCCAAACCCTATTCTAATCATCAAGGCTCCTATCTTATGTGCGAGCGTGAGAGCGAGCACAAACAGGGCCCCTGTTTGGAGCTGCATCCTTTTGCTGGGTTCTGACATAGCCGAGTTGAGCTTGATTTTATGACTTGCCTTCGGGAGCTAGGTTGTTTCTACTAGTTAGTGCTGCATGCTGTGTCGTGTTAGATGTTCCTGCCATTCACGCATCTGCATGCATGCAATCCAGCGAAGCCAAGATCTTCTGCCGAACACATGCAGACCCGAAACCTACCCTTGATCCCCGGCCGTGCCTCAACTCCCTTGAGACCCCCTTTGACCCGCCGTTTTCCCTGCGTGCTAGCATGTTCTACATCTCAACAATACTTGAACGAGCGCTTCGAACCTAAATCCCGAACCCAGCAGTCGGCTGCATGCAAAACGAGCCTCCAGTAAGGCCTTTGCACGGGCAAGAACGCCAAAACCCAGGAACTGGAAACGCCCACAGCCCTGAAAGCATATCCCCGAAACTCGAGCAAAGGGAAGCACCAAATCTCTAGGAGCTTCATTGGAATAAGGCTCTGGGCCATTATACGCATACAGGCAAACAAGGGTTAGAAGGGCAAACGACTACGAATATTTCAGACCTCTTTATACTCAGAGCTTGAGTCTTCCGATCCATAGGCCCTAAACCGCTCGACTCACCCTAAACCCCCAAACCTTAAACCCAAAACTCCCCTAAACCCTAAACCGCCCTAAACCGCCCGAAACTCAGGCTTCGGAGAGCCGGTCCAGCCCGAAGAGGTCATGGAAACCCTCGGACAAGAGGGGATCTTCCTCTCGGTTCTTGCAGCGCGATTGACTCTGGTCTAGGGTTTGGGGTTTAGGGTTTAGGATTTAGGGTTTAGGGTTTAGGGATTGGGGTTTAGGGTTTAGGGTTTAGGGGGATCCTGACTGTTATAGTCCCTGTCAGCCCCTGTAGAACTATAGCAGAATATGCCTCCACCCTTTTCCAGCTACTGTGCCCCACTGTACCCTAAACCCTAAACCCCTAATCCCTAAACCGCTGCAGGGCTTGCGGGCTCAGGTACGGCCCTACTCGCCCGACCTGTCCAGCTTGGAGCATCAGATCTCTGAGGTCCCGCGGACGGTTTAGAGTTTAGGGTTTAGGGGTTTAGGGTTTAGGGTTCAGCAGCTCCGGATCGAGCAGTTTTAAAGTAGAGTTGTGTTTACGGTTTAGAAATAACACCCACCCACCCTCAGAATTCCATAACATCAGGGAAATACAAGGTTTCACTTCTTTCACAGCTTGAAACATTAACCCTTGAACCCTTAAACCCTAAACCTTTAAACTCTGAACCCTTCACTCAAAACCTTGAACTCTTAAACTTTGAACCTCGCGTTCCGGTCAAGAGCTAAACCTTAACTATGCTAACGTGTCAGCACCGTCGTTGTCTAGTCTTCGGTAAAACGTTCACACAATCATGTTTCTGCTGCAGCTAAACCTTAAATTTTATGCGATGTGAATACCGCTGCTTGCTTGATTTTACTTACAGCAAGTCAAGTCGTCTGCGACAAGGGCGTTCCTGTGAAGAGCTAAATTAACCTTAAATTTAGTAGCGTGTCACTACCGATGTTGTCGAGTCTTAAGTAGCTAAACCCTTTGTTGTCGAGTCTTAAGTAGCTAAACCCTAAATTTCATACGATGTGAACACCGCTGCTTGCCTGTGCAAGTAAAAGATTGAAGTTGCTGCTGTCGCTAAACCCTAAATATCCTATGGTGTCAACACCGTTGCTTGCTTGTTGTTGCTGCTGTCGCTAAACCCTAAATTCCCTATGGTGTCAACACCGTTGCTTGCTTGTTTTAAGTAAAGCAAGTAAAAGATTGAAGTTGCTGCGGTCGCTAAACCCTAAATTTCCTATGGTGTCAACACCGTTGCTTGCTTGTTTTAAGGGAAGCAAGTAAAAGATTGAAGTTGCTTGCTTGTTTGAAGTAAAGCAAGTAAAAGATTGAAGATACTGCTGTCGCTAAACCCCAAATTTCCTATGGTGTCAACACCGTTGCTTGCCTTAGGAAAGCAAGTAAAAGATTGAAGTTGCTGCTGTCGCTAAACCCTAAATTTCCTATGGTGTCAAAAGGTTTCGAAACGCGCCACGGGCAAGGGTTTTTCAGGACTTCGTGCCACGAATAAGGATTTGTTGGAAGGGTTTCGAAAAAACCCTTGTTCGCGGCGCAGGACCCTTGCTCGTGACGCGAAATCCCGAAAAACCCTTGTTCGTGGCGGGAGGCGCTCGCGCCACGAACAAGGGTTTTTTGGAGAACGCGACATCCGAAAAACCCTTGTTCGTGGCGCGGGAGGCGCGGTCGCGCCACGAACAAGGGTTTTTTGGAGAATCTGACATCCCGAAAAACCCTTGTTTGTGGCGCGGGAGGCGCGGTCGCGCCACGAACAAGGGTTTTTTGGAGAACGCGACATCCGGAAAAACCCTTGTTCGTGGCGCGGGAGGCGCGGTCGCGCCACGAACAAGGGTTTTTTGGAGAATCTGACATCCCGAAAAACCCTTGTTTGTGGCGCGGGAGGCGCGGTCGCGCCACGAACAAGGGTTTTTTGGAGAACGCGACATCCGGAAAAACCCTTGTTCGTGGCGCGGGAGGCGCGGTCGCGCCACGAACAAGGGTTTTTTGGAGAATCTGACATCCCGAAAAACCCTTGTTTGTGGCGCGGGAGGCGCGGTCGCGCCACGAACAAGGGTTTTTTGGAGAACGCGACATCCGGAAAAACCCTTGTTCGTGGCGCGGGAGGCGCGGTCGCGCCACGAACAAGGGTTTTTTGGAGAACCCCGCGCCACGAACAAGGGTTTCAAGGGTAAAAACCCTTGTGAAAACCCTTAGGCGCCACGAAGGTCATTAAGGTTTAAATATATATATATATATATATATATATATCTATATATATATATATGATAAAGAGGTTTAGGGTTTAGGGGTTTAGGGTTTAGGGGTTTAGGGTTTAGGGTTTGGGGTTTAGGGGTTTAGGGTTTAGGGGTGTAGGGTTTAGGGTTTAGTTCCTTAACTATAGGACCCAGAGTAGGCCCTAATTCATTTTTTTAGGGTTTTGGTTCCCTCATAACACCCTTTAAACCAAAAGGAGCACCTTTGTTATTCCTAGGTTACTCTTAGATCCAGTTAAGGGATATGCAGTGGCGGGGTTTACGAGTTGTGGTGTTCCGTCGAAAAGACTCTAGCCTTCTAGCCCCACAACCTCTACCCCACATCCCAAACCCAAACCCTTAACCCTACACGTCTATCCCACCCTGAAAAGCTGAAAGATCCTTCCGCCCTGACCACTGTAATGTCACAAGCAGCTGAATATTCCAGCCCTACAAGCCACAATGTTTTGGGTTTGAGGTTTACAGTTTAAGGGTTTGGGGGAGGATGTCTTTGAAGGAACACCGAGGGGTCAACGGAGGATGGCTTTGAGGAATCACCGAAAGGCTGACTGTGCGGAATCTGTGAAGAACAAATTAAACAAGTCTGTGCTTTGTGATAGTTGACTAACCATTGATATCGGAGGAGCTAAGGAGCCAGGGATGATGATAGTCCCTAGTAAATAAGGAGCTAAAGAGCCAAGAGAACCCCCAAACCACTGCTTAGTTGATGCAATAGTTAGTTCAGCATAGTTTCTGATGCTGTTAATCGGCGGATGCTGGCACTGTCTCTACAGTACTGCTGTGAGGGCTTCTAGGGTCTAACTTCCGGGCAAGCCTGCCGCACAAAAGGGGTTAGGGTAGACCTAAACCCCTGAAGCTCTACGCAAAGAGTCTCGAGCACTACATGGCTCTGTTTATTCGGCCAATCAGGGGCATGGTTCTACCGCATGCTTAAAGTTGCCCAATGATGAACGACATGGGATTCGGTGCTTTCGGAATTTCAGGCTGGTGTATTCGTCGGGGAGCTCTTCCCTAAACCCTAAACCCTTAAACGATCTAAATCCCACACCGCAAACTCCCTGAGCGCGAAGCCTGAAAGTGCCGACGCAGCGCGTTTTAGCCCAGAGGACCTCATCCCGCCAGAGACTCCAATATCCCTCAATTCAGGAATATACCTTAACTTATAATAGGATCCCTTATATGATTTAAGGTATATTCCTTAAGGGGTTTTGGAGGCTCTGGGCCCCCAAGGTTGCCCTCGAAGCCTTGACCATATGCCCTAAACCTGAGGCAACCTTTTAGGGTTTAACTAACCATTGATATCGGAGGAGCTAAGGAGCCAGGGATGATGATAATCCCTAGTAAATAAGGAGCTAAAGAGCCAAGGGAACCCCAAAACCGCTGCTTAGTTAAGAATTTTTAGAAAGTTAAGCACCGGACTCCATTTAGACATAGGCTTCCTGAAACCCTATACCTCACCGCCAGCCCATCTAGTAACCCGGTACGATGTAGGTACTTAGGATGCTTTGGGTCAGGTGGCAAAGGTGGTCGGCTCCAACTTCTCACTTCAACGAGCGGAGCATGTTTTGTGCCATGGGTAGACGATGGTAATCTTTGTGTTGAGTCTTTAGCTTCAGATGCAGGAGTAGCAGGGGTTTGAATTTACACAGGGCGTGGGCTGGTTTTGCCTGGACGAAGGACTTGGCGAGGAACCCTATCCCTATCCGATCCTGCCAGTTTGAGTGGCCATGTAGACGAAATAAGTGGTATGCGTGCAGGCACATATGGATAGATGGAGGGAGGGAGTGCGGGAGGTGTGTAAACGTGATATTTTTGTTCTCTGGTTAAGTGTCATTACCTTTCGCGGGTGCGTCGTGCATGTGGCACGGCGTTCACGCACTGCCCCACCTGCATGTGTATGTGCATGCTGCTGTTTGTATGTTTGTGTATATACATCTACGCACCTATGTACACACCTTACCTCTCGAGTGCGGAAGGACGACATGTTGAGAATGTGCATGTATGTATGCATGCATGCATGCATGCACGGATGCACGGGTGTATGTAGTATGAAAGCATGTATTAAAGTCTGTTAGAGATCAAGAATTTGTATATACGGAGGTGTATACATGTATGAAGTAGGGTATTCCGCCAAGGCACCTCTGGTCAGAGTGCGAGGCCACCGCAGGACAAGCAGGTGGCTCTACTCGGTCTCGCACAAGATGAAAAAAAGGTAGGAGAAGGGTTTAGGGTTTAGGGGGTAGGATAAGGTAGGAGCAGGCATAGTCCTGGGTTTGCAGTGCCATACTTGAATACTTTTTTCGGTGCCTGTTCCTTAATGGAACCATTCTGAAATAGAAGTCTATGCTTTTTTCTCCCTGGTTACTGCAAAAGTCCAGTAGTAATGTCATATCACTACCAGTCTTTATGGACAACCAACACAAGGGGTTTTAACTGCAGTCTACACACTCAAACCTTATTCTAACTCGTGGTTCTACCCATCAGAACCATCAGTTTCATTCTATTGATCATTCGGGGTTGGCGTCTGGGGCCTGGGCACCTCGTTGTCGAATTGCTGTTCTTTGTCTCGGCCCTTTCTCAAATGACTGCCTCCGCTTGTGTCGTGCTCCCAGTACTTCGCTTCGCTACATCCGCGACCAAGAATGTAGCTCGTTCAGCCACGACCTGTGGAATTTCAGTTTTTGTTAAGTCTTGACACACAGGAAGACTTTGCGCAAAGCTTTAGCGTTTGGAGGTAGCCTGCACAGCTAAACGCAACCGAGGCTCTTGCTCCTGCCGCATCCTTCTGCCGGAGCACGGGCTCTATTCCAAGGAGTGTCAGTACTATCACATGCAGCTTGGGCACGCGCCATCGCAGTGGGATTTCATTTGGACCTCTGGCTGTGGCTTCGGGGTACCTTCAATGGTGTTTAGGTAGTGGAACGTAGGGTGGATTGTGAGGAACCACAGCAGTAAGAGCATAGTATTTCCCAATGTTCAAAAAACCTCCTTGAACCCGAAAAAAAGAAGCCCTAAGTAGTGCAGTTGCCAGCTTTCAGACTGAGAAGGGTCACAGAAAGCTCAAGCGGATTTTAGTCGGGAATGGTCCCCACAATGTTAGGTAATGTCGGGGCCTTAATAATTAGAATAGGGTTTTGGGGGCTCCTTATAATTGCTAGTATAATATACCCTGCCAAACCCTATTCTAATTGCTAAGGCCCTGTATTACCTCAAGCCCTAGGCCCTAGGGTCATGTGTTCGGGTATCCCAAGCCCTTTTCGCTTCCAAGGTACTTGGAACGCAGCTCCAGTATGCTGACCCTTCGTTGCGACTTGACCGCAAAAGCGCCAAAGCTCAGGACTTATTCGGTCGATGTAGGGCTTACCGGATTTGAGTGTTTTGATTATATGTATGTCTCTGGGGCTTAGGGTTTATGTATGGTTTATGCATTCTTGCATATGACAGTGCACGAGGTATGGTCGACGACGATGTTCAGGGTTTTGGGTTTCCTTCCGTGTTTAAGCTTCCTGTTAGAAACCGTGGTAAACCAAGCTTGAACAACAGGTTCATATGGGTAGTTCTCAGGGTCCCTGTTAGGGTCCTTTTATAAGCGTGCCGTACTACAGTTTGGGGGTCTGAAAAGGGACCGTACATTTGGGGAACTACCCATACATCCGCCGGGTAAACCCTAATTTTTTGACCTTAAAACCCCTTCTGGACACAACAGTCCTTTTGAATTCTAAACCCTCTGAAACCCTAGAACCCTAAGCCCTGAAGCCTAAACCCGCCTAAACCCTACATCAACTCCATAAACCCACCAGCCCTTGAGCCCTAAACCAAAGCCCTTGTACCGAGGCAACAGCCGGGCCTTCATTGCGTGGGTGCGTGAGAGCTACGGAGGTCGGCGTCACAGGGTTTCGGGATTGGGGTTTCAAAGACGTACGGAAGTCGGTGTATAGACTCGAGTTCAAAGTTTCAGGACTCAAAGGGTTCAGCGTTTAGAGTTCTATACTTCAGTTAGAAGATCGGACGGGCTTTGGTATGTACAGTTTAGCAAACGGATTGAATTGTGTGGAGTTGGGAGCTTTTCGGAGTGCAGATTCAACCTCTGAATATCGCACCCTGTGGGCTCACCCTAAACACCAAAACCCTACACCGTCTCAAATTGATTCCAGGGTGCCTGTTCCACACGCGTCTTGTCATCAGCCAAGTGTCTTTGCCTACTGCAAGAAACCACTGTGTGGCCTAAGCCTGCCCCCGAACCCGCAGCTCCTTAGTCAAGTAATGTACCTTAAACCGTATCCAGGCGCGCCGACGTTGCCTAAGGCATCGTCCCACCTGAAGCCCGCCCTAATACTAAGCCCTGCCATACCCAGGCCTGGGTGGCGACCTCGGTGGCGGTGCAGAGGCCCGTCATGGAGCAGTCGAAACCGGGGTTCTTCTTGAGTGGTTCGCATGCACTCAAGTTCTGAACACGGTTCTTCTTATCAGGGTTTCGGGCTTACGGTGGGTCGCCGCACAGGGCCGAAGGCCATGTAACAATCCGATGTGCATCCCTTCTTCCTCGATCGTCTTAAACCTCCGCAAGGGGTGGTCAGGTTGCCCACTGGGATGCTATATGTGTTTGGTATTGTATATTTGCATTTGTGACCACAGGTACATATGTACGTATGACCGTCTGTGCGTAAGCATGTATTCATGTATGTATGACTGTCTGTATGTGTAAGTACGTGTATGTGCATGTGTATGTGTGCGTACGTGGATGTGTGTGTGTGTATGTATGCATGCATGCATGTATGTATTCATGTGTATATATGTGTATGTGCACGTGTTATCATGTGTTGCATGCATGTAAGTGTGTATGTATTGCATGCATGCATGCATGCATGCATGCATGCATGTATGTATGTATGTATGTATGTATGTATGTACATGTATGTACATGTATATACAATGACACATACACACACGTGTATGTATATGCACACATACATACATATACATATGCATATATGCACACATGCATACATACATATACATATGCATATGCATGAGCATATGCATATACATATACATGTACATATACATATACATATATATATATATATGTTTCAACTGGGGCTCGACATGCACTTGTGCTGTACCTGCATGATTTATTGCAGCCACGCACCAATCTTGAAGCGTAGCTAGCCCTCCATCATGAGAGGCAGATGCTCCGGAGGCACCAGAAGCATCGTCGCTGATGTCGGAGATTCAGGCCCATGTGCCGGGTTGATTTTCAGACTTCTGAGGGCTTTCGGCAGTGGTATTTTGCGATTGAAGTTCCTGTTTTTGGCGACCCACTCCCCGCACCCGGAAGAATCAAAACCTCAGCTCAGAGTCCTCTAAAAGGGGCAATGTCGAGCCATTGTTTTCGAGGAGGCGCTGGAACTCATCTCAACGTTTTAGGGTGTAGTGTGTTAGAGGGCTCCAAGGGTGGGTGGGGTAATCCCCAAATAAGAGTCCTTATGTGAGGGATCCTTGATCCTACTGGTACCTAGATTCAACCCACCTTTTGAGGCCTCCCAGTGCAGTGCTAGCAAGTTTCGGGTTCATGCCACAGGTCTCCTGCACCCATAATGCAAGCACGAGGCCTCCTAGAGGTGTCTGAGTAAGTTGTAATGATGTTCGCGTCTAGACTCTTCTGCTGATACTACCATACACCCCTACCGGGCCCTACCACCCTACTCTAACTTTTCTGGCCCCGGTCTTAGGCAATCTTAGGCCAAAAGCCAGAAGCGCTGACCTCGACAGCCTTAGCCCGACCCAGATCCTGCATCCTTGGCCCAAACATTAGGGACCCCAAAAGCACATAAGCATAAGCATTTTATGGGGATATCCCTACCTTATTGGGCTTCATTACAAGCGGGATTTGTACGGGATATCCCTACCCTAATTTTTGCTTATGTGCCTTTTTGGGGGCCCTAAAACATTTGGTTGGAGAAGTAAGATGAAGTAAGTAATGTAGGGGCCGAAATAATTTGCCAGGCTTTGTCCCAGTGTGAGCGTCAAAAAAATAGTTTGAACAGGGTTTTGGGGGTTCCATATTTTAAGTATCGCACTATATACCCCCCCAAACCGTAGTCTAATTTACCCTAAACCCTAAACCCTACCCCCAAGCCGTAGTCTAATTATGAAGGCGCCGAGAGTAACCCCTTGAAGCCGAGAGCCGGAACCCTGAGCCGCAACATGGAACCGCACCCCATTCATCAGAAAGCATAAGGAAAGCATACCATGGGTTGCTTAAGGCATGGCCTTATCAGGATTAGTACTACTTATGACTGTTAACATTTACTTTTGCTATATTGCTATAACTATTACAATTAAGAGTCTGGGTTTCTGCGCATCAGCAGCAGGGAAAATCAATGATGCCAACGAGAAAGGAAGGAGCAACAGTCAATAGCCAGTAACGGCAAGGCAGTGGTCTGTCACTCGCAGACTGAAACCCTTAAACCACAGCTCGAGAAATGAACCGCAACCTTTCAGAAAAACAGACTCTTAATTGTAATAGTTATAGCAATATAGCAAGAGTAAATGTTAACAGTCATAAGTAGTACTAATCGTGATAGTAATAGTCATCAATCCCGACCCCCCCAAATCCGCTCATGCAGGCGATGCAAGGACAGGTTGTGCCTTGGCCCATTCCAGCTAGGGTTTAGGTTTTGTTCGAGTAATCCGAATTTACGAAGGCCCTAGACCCCCCATCCCTAAACCCTAAACCGAAGCCCCAAAGCCGCAATCCAAAATCCGAATCTCAAAGCCGTGAGCCCTACCCTGCCCTACAAACCCAAAACCGAAATTTCCAAAGCCCGAAGCCTGCGCCCCAAATCTGAAGATCTACAGCACTAAACCCCCAAATTCAAATTCATTATCCCAAGCTTTTCTGCAATTTCCCGCGGAGCGGATGCTTCAGCACCCAAAAACCTCTACAAATATCTTGGATTTGTTAGGGTTCAGATTTAGGGCAAGTTCAGGGTTTAAAGTGAGGCCTGCTGTTGAGGAGTCTTCGCTGGCACACAATCCAAGCCCATGCTGAAAAATAGTTGGGTTTCAGGGTATCTTAGGGGTACTTGGAAATATTTTTTAATTTTTGGTTATTACAATCCCTAAGAAACAGCTAAAATTATAATTTTTGCTAGGGTTCTAAGTTCAGTATAGGTATAGGGCTTTCAGGGTTTGGGTTGATGGGTTTCGGGTTTCAGTGGGGCTTAAGTTAAGGGTTTTGGACGCAGGGTTTGGGCAAATCCGAGCTTCCAAAGCTCCACACGACTACCCCTCAACCCTTAAAACCCTTGTGATTATAGGGTTTTTAGGGTTTTGGGTTCAAAGGCTATAGGGCTTACAGGGATTATAGGGTTTAGGGTTTAGGGCTCTCGAGACTATAGGAACCCTTTATAGCAACCATTGTGTCAAAAGGAACCTTTACCGGAAAGTTTATCCTTGTAGCAACGCTTACAGCAACCTCAAAAAGCAGTCCCATATGCCATAAACCCTAAACCCTAAACCCTAAACCATCTTCAGGATGGTTGGCTGAAGTCGCGGTGGGCCGCGAATCTGCGATCGCGCTCCTGCTGCAGCGGCTCGGTTGGGTCCGTTGTGTTTGGGCTTTTGGTTCATTTTTCGTTAGTTTGCGGCAAAGGGTTTCGGGTTTGGGGCCATTGGGGTTTAGGGTTTAGGCTTCAGGGTTTCGGGTTCGGAGCTCCAGCTTGATTTAGGGCTTGATTAGGTGCAAGTTGTTGAGGCTGATAAAGATCTCGTTGAGAAAGACCTCTAGAGAGGCCTTATTTCAATTCGCCTAAAGGACATGAAGACTGTTAAAATCCCTATTTGAATTCCTATATGCTGTAATAAGCCCTCAACCCTAAAGTTTATGAACAAAGATCCTCAACTCCACAAACCCCAAGGGAACCCTGGATTTTCAGCAGCCCAAAGGGCTCCGTTTAGGGTCTGGGGTTCCTTGTACTTGGGCATGTTTGCTTCTGGCTCTCTTGAAAAGCTAGAGAGATCGATGAACTCATACTGCTGGAGGCACTTCAGAGAAACCTCGTTCACAAAACCCTAAACCCTAAAGGTTTATGGCTCCTCCTGGCTCCTACGGTTAGATGTGGAAGGGATTCTGGGCTGCTGGAGGCCGGCAGTTGCTCCAAGGGAGAGAGGATCACTCTCTGATGGCCATGGCAATATGGACAATCAAATCAGCAGAAATACGAAAATGTATGAACTAACAGTAGTAAGACTAATATGTATAGCAATTCTTTGTTTGTTATAATGACAGCGGTTACCGGCACAGGGACTGCCAGACCGGGGTGCGATGTTTGGCCTACCAGTGGCGTTTGAGGGTTGACGGTTTAGGAAATATTACGGGCTACCGCGTAGTAGGGACACATTGGGTTTCGGAAAAAAGCTTTTGAACTCATGGGGGAGAAAAACAGCACATGGTTCAGGAGTCAGGAAATGAGGAGAGAGTGCCCTCCTCCATTTGAACCTTGCAAACTCCCATGCTGAGGCTTTGGGTCACTGCCCGGGTTGCAGACGTCACGGCGTGGCGCTGTGCAGCTCGGAAGTGGTTTAGGCTTTAAGATGTTGTTTAGGATGTTGGGTATAGAGCATGGTTTGGAGTGCTTTGGATTTCATGATTTAGGGGTTATTGTTTAGGTGGAAATCCAGACCCTAAGCCCTAGAGCATATCCCCAAACCCTGAACCTTCAACAACAAAAGCATATTCAAAAGTGGATCGAGCGGTTCATTTTCGAATGTTTTCGGGAGTTCGATTCCGGGGATGTCCTTGCGGGCTGTCAAGGTTTACTATCTCGGCTCATGCTTTACCCCCTGTCTAGGGTATCTACTTTCTATACAACAGACCCTAACTACAGAACTATGGGTAGGTATCCTGAACACGGGGCAGGGTATGACCCTAGAGTTTGGTGGGCCGGAACTCGGCGCCTAGATCTGCGCAGGCGAAGACCATGGTCATCAAAATCCAAAGCTCTCCTTACCCAAAGGCTCCAAAACCAGTTCAAGACTGTGCTAATAATGTACAGGACTATACCAATGATGTACAAGACTCCTTAATGTGAGCTCCTGATGAGTACCCCCCTCACACCCGAACATCCTGAATCCGCATTAGTGGCGGGGGGGGGGTCGCCTCCCCAATCATCTTTAGTTGTTTGGGGGGCCGGGGCTCTCAGACAGTTGTAGTACAGTAGTAATTAGAAGTACAGCAGTAGTACAGCAAGAAATTAAGTACTGTAGTCTCCTCTATCTTGCCTGTCTCTGTCTCTTCTTTTCCAGGGCGTGACTTTGTCGTAGGAGTGTATATTTACTTAACCTTACAAAATAGAAATGGGACGGGAATTACGAGTATTGAGGGGGGTTTATTACTACGTGGAGCCCGAGTTTAGCTCTATTGAGGGGGCCTTTCCAATGTTGAGTTCCGAGCCGAGTTTAGCTCTATTGAGGGGCCATGACTAATTAATCACGAGCTCACATTAATGCGTATGGGGGCCATCAAGCCTAAGCTCGTGTTGCCAAACCTGACAGCCCTCGCCAGAAGCATTCACAGTACGTATCTTATTCGAGCTACGACTTGCGTATTTGGACCCTGTGGGAACGCCTTCTTTTACAGAGACTCTCTAAACCCTAAAGTAAAAGCCAGAAAGTTGGTATATGATTATCCTAAACCCTTTATGGTAAATTATAGGGTATCCTACCTTGAAACCATATGCCATATTCCAACTTTCTGGAGTTCCCTTTAGACCCGGGAAAGTTTAAGGCAAAACGTGGAAGAGACATCTGCTTTGTCGGGCCAATCCGGAGCTGCGGGCTTGGAAAGGTCCCAGAGAAGTGTAGCTGCTTGGGGCATGCATTTTTGTTGCTGTTTCTCGTTCTCATGTTAATTCGCATGTGCATGCTTTTGATTACGCTTGTATTTATGTATGAGTATTCCTATCCACAACTGTTGTTGTGTTAAGAAATGTGCTGCTTTGTTTGTGTTGTGCTGTCCTGTGCCATGCGACTATGCTATGCTATGTTCTGCAATGTGTCTTATGTGCTGTCATGCCATGTTATGTTGTGCTACCATGTGCTATGATTGTGTTTGGATTAATGCTTATGACTCACCATGCCTACGTTTATGCTATCTGGTATTAAAAGTTATATGTACATGTTTTTGGTTCTGGTTATGCTTCTTATGACATGTTATGTATGTTATGTGATGTGACGTCGTGTTCTGTTACTTTGTGCTACACCACGCTGTGTCATGTTACGCTATGTGTTGTGCTAGGTGATGTTTTGTTCCAGTCTGTTATGTTGTCGTGAAGGATGCTACATTATGTCATGCTACAATCTGCTATATGATAGAGTGGTCGTCCCTGCGCCCTGGTTTGTGATTGTGGGTTGAGAAGTGGCAGGACTGGTTCTTGGCGTCGGTGTCTTGGTTCTTGTTAAGGGTTCTAATTCAAGTTACCATATACGGACTTACAGTAAATAATATGGTTCCCTTATTACGGTAACTTGATCTAAACCCCTTGTCAAGAGCCCAGGTGCTCTCAGACGCATTCCGAAACATGGGAGTATAGGCTGAAGCAGCAACAGCAGTATGATCAATATGGTACAGAAACAACATCGAGGCAAGCAAGAGCAGCCTTGTTCTGGAATCTTACCGCTCGCTCTGCGATCCCTCGTTTTAGATCGACTGACTCAGCAACCTATGCGATGGTGCAAGATTAGAGTTTGATGGGTTCCTACACTCATCTTCAAACCCCAAACCCGAAGGCAAAAACGCCACAACCACCTCAAAGATAAATGGTGCCTTTCCAAGCCATAACCCTAAACCCCTAAGACTCTAAAGCCCTAAAACCATAAAACCCGAAGACCCCAGAGCCCTAAACCCTAAAACCCTAAGACCCTAGAGCCCTAAACCCTAAAACCCTAAGGCCCTAAAAACCCTAAAACCCTAAGACCCTAGAGCCCTAAACCCTAAAACTCTAAGACCCTAGAGCCCTAAACCCTAAAAGCCTAAAGCCCTAAACCCTAAGACCGTAGAGCCCTAAAACCCGAAACCCCCAACACCCCTAAAACCCTAAAACCCCAACACCCCTAAAACCCTAAAACCCGAAGACCCCTAAAACCCTAAACCCCCAACACCCCTAAAACCCTAGACCCCTAAACCCCCAACACCCCTAAACCCCTAAAATCCTAAGACCCTAGAGCCCTAAACCCTAAGACCCCTAAAACCCTAAGACCCTAGAGCCCTAAACCCTAAGACCCCTAAAACCCAAGCCCAAGGCCAGCTCTTCCTCTGACTCCGTGGCCTCGAAGCAATTGGCCAAGGCAGGGGTGGGGTCTTTTCTGGACCCAAGAAGAGGGGTTTAGGGGATGAGGGGTTTAGGGTTTAGGGGTTTAGGGTTTAGGGGTTTAGGGGTTTAGGGGATGAGGGGTTTAGGAATTTGGGACTAAGTTAAGTAGGATCCGTCTGGCTAGCCCCAAGCCCAGTGGCAAAAAAAAGGGCTTAACTTAGGATTTAGGGTTTAGGGCTTATAGGGCATAAGCATAAGCATGTCACAGGGATATCTCTACCTTTTTGGTCTTCAGTATAAGGGGGTTTATATGGGATATCCCTATCCTACTTTTCGCTTGTGGTTTTTTGAGCCCCAGAGTCTTCTTTCCTCCGCCATGAGCTTGTGATGGTACCATGAAAACTATACGTCCATACAGGTGCACATGAACTAAAGCATACATATTATGTCACATACATACATACCTACATGCATAGACAGATGTATATCGGTACAGCATTCCCAGCAAGCACACACGTATACATGTATGTACTCATAATAGATAACACAATATATATGTACATATATATATACTAGAGTCAATGTGTGTGTGTGTATATATATACACATACGTACACGTGTGTGTAGTATATTTGGGAACACGTACACACACACACACACGCACCCGTTCATACATCCATGCACAGTTTTCCGCATATAGAGCTGCGGTGCATTTGCATTTTCAGTATAGTTTGAGAACAGAACTCCTGAGGCCCAAAGCTTAGGATCCGCTCATGAACTGCCTTGTTTTGGAGTCTGTGTCCGTGCTGGTTGAGAAGCTAACCTGGCTTGGAAGAACCAAGTTGAACATTTCAGAGCTGCAAATTGGGATGACACTGATCCCCAGTACGATGGGGGTTTGGTGTGTGAAACGCTCGAACAGCTCGGTTTGAAACGGCACTGCAATCCTGTAAATTCCTACATACGAACCAGCCTCGCCGGCGACAGTCCAAATTCCCACGTCTAGCGACGCAGATTGACTATTTGCTCCAGCAGCTCCAGCAGGGAATCTTTCGTTGAGATAGTGAGGATGTATGGGTGTTGATGGTTTTGCTCCATTTTTTGGCAACACTGACCCTTTATTCGAAAAGCCTCAAGACCTGTACTTTGCTGTGCGCACATACCAGAGCCCTCAAAACCTGCAATGCCTACTTCCACGGTCTCAGGTTACCGTTCCTCCGCCGTTACGACCTCAATGTTGTTCGGACATCGGTAGCCGCCACATTCGTTACCAAAAACCCTGGCCGTGCAAAAACCCTAGACCCGGAACCCTGGATTCCTCCATTGCCTTGCTTCGCGACTCGAGGCAAAAAAGGCTAAACCCTAAATCCTGTTCTTTATCAAAGACTCGGATGCCCAGTAGTACCCTTATTCCCTTTTTGTAGTCCTAGGCTCCTTATAAAGTTACCCAATATACCAAAAAGGGAGCCCTGCTTTATTCCCAGGTTACTGGGCATCCTAGAAAACCAAAGCCAGGTTGAAGGTCTTTCGGAGTCGCCTCCAAAGCGCTCGGAGCTGCTCGGACGTTCTGTGAAGAGATTGGGGTTTAAGGATTGAGGCTTTAGGCCTTAGGGCTCTGCCAGGCCTACTACAACAGAAGCTATATGGCTTACGCATGGTTACACCAGACATAAAGTCTCGGGGCTCACTGTTCAGGGTGTTAGACTTGAGAGTTTCAGAGGCACGGATCGTCAAATGAAGGGAAGGTTTCACGGGCAAGAGGTCCAGCGTGTGTCCCGGAGGCTGCCGCGACTTTTTGGGATGAAGGGCTTCAGAATGCACCGGCTGTTATTTGGACTCTCATCCCGCAATCCATAAGGGATTTACAATCCTAAACGGGATTTAAAAAGTGATTTTACTTCTCACTGTGCTTGGGACCAGCGTATGCCTTGTCAGGCCTGGAACGAAGTTCCTGCGCGCCCCCAAGTTCGACAACCCAAAACTAATGATAGACCTGTTAGCCATAGAATTCCCCTGTAGTACTGTAGTACCGCCAAAAAGCCATCCTGCAATTACTGTACTCGCAAAACATAAGCAAAGTAGTTAATAAGGACGCTAAGTCAGTTCTCAAGCCTGAAACCCTCGTTCGGTTCTGGGGTTCAAAGACTCAAGTTTATGGATGCCCTCGTTGGGGTTGTACGCCGACGGACCCGTAGTTACCGCACTCACAAGCTAAGCCTACCTGGAATTACCTCTGAAGCTTCGCACATAAACCTCCGAGCCCTAAATCCTAAACCCTAGATCGGTGCTGATTCGCCGAAAGGGGCGCCGGCACATTGAAATGTAACAGCTAGATCCCACCCCAAACCCTAAACCCTACTCCCTGCAATGCAGGCCTCGTCCTTGCTAGGTAGGAGGGAAAAAACCCTAAACCCCAGATCCTAGATCCTAGCCTTGCCTGCCTTCTGCGCGAGTGAGCATCGAAACCCTAGATCCGCCAACCCAAACCCAAAGGGTCCTATAGGTGCTGTTATGGGGAACCGGGGAATACGTCCCCAAATAATTCCTAATATATAGAAACCCTACATTCTACTATATGGGTTCTTTGGACCCTTTGGGAAACCCTAGATGCTACTGGCACTCTTTGAGGACTTTAGGAGCCCATACAGGGAACAGAAAAGGCCCCTAAACCTTCTACTATAGGGGCCTAAATAATTACCTATGCTAGTTTGGGGTTCCCTGTTATAGTTATAGTCTAATAGGCCCCCAAAACCCTATTCTAATCACTCAGGCCCCTAAATCCCTAAATCCCTTATAGTATCCTTATAGTATTTCTTAAAGGAGCCCTATTCTAATTATTAAGGCCCCAAAACCTTCCAGGCCCCTCCTCCCGAAGCTTTTGGTTCTCAAGGCTTCGCGACTTCTTCGGGGGATCGGCAAGCTGGGGAATGGAACAGGACAGTCGAGTTCAGCGTTTGGCATGTTCCTTTAAGGGCTTAGACCCTAAGCCCTATCTATCTATCTACATATATATATATATATGTATATTTGTATATGTATATATGTATATATATTTATTTATTTATTTATATATTTATGTCTCCTCTAAGGAGGGCCCAGAAGACGCTCAACAGCGAGCGATAGCTGCAGCGCCCCAGCACTAAGACAGTGCGACTTTTAGGGGGCTGTTGCTGTAACCGGGCTGCTGGACAACGAGGCCTGCTGCAAAAAGGACAGCCATCAAGCGTCCTTTGCACTCTCCGAGCTGGCACCGCCGAGCACGGAAAAGGCGCTCTTCTACGCGTCTTGCACTACAGGGTGGCCGCATCCCACCAACTGCTGCCCTCAACCGGCTGGCACGACACCACTCGGTGTCGTACGGGTATTCAGGATTCCTACGAAGCCTCATGGGCAAACAGGACAGATGGAACCCAGATGGTGGAAAGTCCTGGCATGTTTGGCATGGTGCCTATCCATCGCCAAAGGCGGCGCCCTGGAAGACACCCAGAGGACCGAAGCCAGCCTCTCAGTTCCCGGCCTACGACGCCCAGATTGCCAACTCCAAGGGCAATGGCAAGGGTGGGAAGGGCAAGCACAAAGATCTTCCGGAAGCAGGCGAAAGCATGTCCGGGGAGGTGCAGAGAGCCCTGAATGCCACCAAGAAAGCCGAGCACCGCCTTGCTCGCTTGGTCAACGACAAGGAGAAGTCGACGCAGCAATGGCAGGAATATGCCAAGGCATCCAGAGCGGCGTATTACAAGGAAAAGGAGCGCTATCAGCGCAATCTTCAGAACTACGACCGCGACATCCTGGAAGCTCAAGCTGCTCAGAGCGAAGCCCGGAGGACGCTTCGCGAGCAAGTGGCGAATGCCTACAGGACGGAGTCGAGGCCGGCAGGAGAAGAGATGGACATCGAGGAGGAGGAGGAAGACGACGAGTGGGAACGCATGATTGCGGACTACGAAACGGAGACAGCCATGGAGGACGATGCTGTTCTACAAAGGGCCTTCCAGGATGCACAACAAGGCCGACTGAGGGCAAGGACACCCTCGAGACCAACGAGGGCAAGATCACCTCCTGGACTGACCCACGGAGACATTGCAGCTCCACCATCCACATACAGGCCGATGTACGACGAGGTGTCTCCAACACTCAGATCTGCAAAGACAGACCCGTATCCAGTTACCTCACCCAGAGGACACCTGGGACCGAATACCGATGGAGACCGCCTCCCTACAGGACCGGATGCCAGCCGAGAGCGACCACGAACCTCTCCTGTGCATCCTGGGTCGAAGCCGCAGGATCAGCCCAGGCAAGGAGTCAAGGAGGCCACCAAACACCCTCCAGATCGAACTCCTCAACACCATGGCCTTGCAGACAAGCTTCAGGCCAAGCGGGACGCGATGCGACCCTTTGGCATCCCGATCGAGAGTGCAGCACCGGATCAGGAAGCTGTGCAGAATGGCGAAACAAGCGGAGCCAACGACGTGGCTGCTGGAGGAACGACTTCCAATGGATTGATCGAGGACGACCCCGACCTGAACGACGCCACGACCAAAGTCCCGGAGTGGTGACGCCTGAGCGGATGCTAAGTCCACAGATAGAGGCCTGGCCACGTCTTGGCTACGGCCGCCTAGAGGGACGAGAGCATTGGAGTTTACATGGGGTAAACTTCCCTTGCCAGCTTCCCTGTGGGCAAGGCCAGGTCAAGGACGTGGCCACGCTGGATGCCTGTTGGATTTCAGCTAGTGAATGTACAAAGACGAAGCTAGGGTCCTCCTTTTCATGCCTCTTGCCCTTTGGCCACGCCATTGAGTTGCACTCCTGTCCGGCTCGCCTACGTCCTGTTCTGGTATGGACTCACTGGGTTTGTGTGTTCTGCCAGAATCGGGATGTGTCTTCCTCTCTCAGGGTTACCATGCACTGGCCTTGTGCTGGGTATTCCCTGGGCCCGCCTCGGTGGCATGCTCCTGCCACACACCTCAGCACAGGGCCGTCTTGGAATTTTGCTCCGGCAGCCTTCGACCATGGCAATTCTGGCTACAGGTATTCTAGCCAAGTAAACAGCAGAGAGCCTAACAGCGACATCGGTGGCTCGGGGGTCGCGTCCTGCTTTCTTGGCCTGCTTATCAGCCAGGTGCATGCGGCCTGCCGCACAATGGCCCTCCTTTTGCTTGCTGGGCTTCTCAGTCTACTTGTGCAGAAACACGGCAAAGCCCTGCCTGCATGCAAGGTCACAGCCCAGTCTCGACTAGGCGGTAGTTTTGTTGTTGCCCTCCTGCCTCTTGGGCATTGTGCCAGGCCACAGGCGTGTGGCCATACTCTGCGTCCAAGCAAGACGCGAGGGACTCAAAGGCCAAAGAACACAACGGGCCGAGGTTTTGGTTGGTGGCTCTGGGCCCTGCTGTTTCTTCAGCTGCCTCATACAGCTTGGTCCATGCCGGCTGACGTTGCCACCCTGCTCGCTGCTGCTACTGCCTCCACCGACAGCCTTCCTCCGCCTGACCCGCTCCCAGCTGCGGCAACAGACTTCTTTGCTGGGAGAGCCTTGTTAGGACTACAGATCATGGCGCCTCACTATCAGTCGGCGTATGCTGAAGTCCCGCTTGGGCCTACCGAGGGCCCCAACCAGGTCCTAAGAGTAGCTGAAACGGTAGCCACTACTACCTTTCATGCCGACATGTCTGCAATCGTGCCATGCAATCCTCAGCCCTTTGTGGGCTATGCAACTGTGGTTGCACAGCCAGCATGCTTAGCCACGACAGGCAAGGTCGTTGTTGTCCTGGACCTGCTTGCAGTTGGTGGCAACTCGTTCGCATGCGTACTGCCACAGGACATTGGAGATCAGGCCATTCGCACTTTTGTCGGCTCCTTGACATCACATCAGGTGCCAGGTGCAGACATCTATGTTGGTTCCGAAGCGATTCCCAGACCTGCGCAGGGGAACATGCAGCTCAACTCTGGCGATGTAGTTCGGTTCCTACCACACGGCAACCTCCTGCCTCCCCGGCCCACATGGGACAGCCTGTTCCACAACCGTGTCAATTGGTGTGCCTCTGATCAGTTCCCACGGCCACTGCAAAAGAAAGGTATCTGTTTGCTGTATGGCAACAACAGATTCTTTCTCAACCGCAGGCAGTACCCGGGACAGCCACCATCCGAAGTCGCTGCTAGAACTGCAGGCATCCAAAGGGACAATCCGTTTCTCAAGGTCGCACGTGATGCACTAGAGGATGTCCTACTTCACGGACACATTTGTAAGGGGGTTGCCTGTGTTGTTGACGTCCCTGCTGCGACAGAGGCACCAGCTGGGTCGGACCGGCAAGACGATGTGTGCTTCTTTGACCTACGGCCAATCGGCCAAAAGCCAATTGCACATTACCAAGTTGGTCATGTTAGGCACCTCCCCTCGGTCCTTGACACCCTAGGGGTTTACCCTCCACCGGGTTACCTCCTTGTTTGGGATAGGGCCTCTACGGATGGATTTGTCACCACACAGAGCGGAGATACGATCGAGGTCAGCGCTACGGCTGATGTGCCAGCACCCTCGGATGGCAGTGAGCCCCCACCTTCAGAGCCTCCCGACTCTGATATTGATGATGACCTCACAGATCTGGATTCACACACAACAGCCGATTTGCCTGCCAACGAGAACACACCTCCGCCAGCAGCCCCACGATCTCCTCGCAGGCCCCGGAGCCGCTCTCCACGGAGATACGGAGGCGCTGGCTGCGTTGTTGCAGGCACTAGGCTAGGTCTCGGATTGCTCCTTGGTCGCCTACCACAAGGGTTTGCCGGCAAGTGGCGACGTCTGAACTCTACTGAACAGGCCATCGCACATGGCACTGATGTTTCCACCCCTGCTGATGACGGCCCATCTTTCTGGTGCCATGCAGAAGATCAATTCAGAAGCCAATGGCTGCCTAGTGTTACCTTGAGTATCGGTGCATCGCTTGCACTATGTGCAGCCTTCCTCTCCAGACGTCCCCGTGTCAGGTCATGCAAGGGTAATGATGTCCACGATTCGGGGCAGCCATATGCAGGGCCCTCCCAAGTTACTGCCGCCATGACACGACAAGAACCAAGACAAGCTCGACAGCCCGTACAAAGACAGCCTGCACAACTCGGCGTTACCCCACCGGAGACAGGCCTGCAGCCTATGCCTCAGGTCTTTCGCACGTGGCACTTCCTTGTCCTGGGTCCTGACCTTAGCCCAGAACAGGTTCAAATTCGCCTGGCCGTTCCGTGCACTGTCCCGGACGCTCTGGCGAGTCTGGCAGTTGCTCGAGATGAAGGGCGTCAGGCACTTTATGGCGCTGTGTTTCCAGTCGTGCCGCAGCCAGCCGATGATTTCGGCACTGTCGTCTGTATCCCAATCTCGGCACAGGCGCCTACGGTTGTCTGCCTTGACCTGCGTGAGCTTGATGGTCGCATCTTCTGCCGCCTTCTTCCGTCTCGCATGAACAGGGAATCCTTGCTTTTGGCAGCGGGTCTGGATATTAGTGCCACCGCTAATGTCCATTGTGGTTCCTCATGGGTGCCTCTACGACCATACCAGTGTGTCAGCCTGGTTCCGGGCCTGCTCATCTCCATAGTGCCTATCGACAGGATGTTCCGGCCCAACGTTTCCCTGCAGAGCATGCTACTCCGTCGTGACCACTGGGTCGCAGACCCTCAGTTGCCTGTGCAAGAGGACACGAGGGCCCTTTACATCCTCACCGATGCCATGCCTGCTTGGTTTGATGTCAGGACCACCAACAAAGACAGTTTCCGTCTAGAGCTGGCCGAGCTACTGCGGACTACAGCCCCGGCGCTAGCCATTCAGACCTGCATGCCGGCACTAACTGATTTTGGGTATCTAGGCCGCTCCTGCCGTGGAGTTCTTGTTGCTACTGAAGGGATGCCCAAGATTCCTGTACCACCGGGGCGCCCTCGAATCCCTAAGCACATCTGCTTT